AAAGCATCCACAGAACCATCTTCCTGCCTCTGTTTGGTTTTTCATTGGTCACCTGTGTCCTTTTGCAAATGTACGCGCATATGATGCGTTCCCATGATGTCCCCTCCCCACCCTGTCCAATTTCTCTTCCATACCTACCAGCTTCATCCACTATCTTTTTCCCTTGTTTCCAAGTTTTGGTTTTGTTGAGTGCCCTACAGAATTTAACTAGGGCTAACTATGTGACTTTGAGCTGGGAACTAACCCTTAGAACCCAGTAGACTCGGCTGGTCTTCTCACCTTCAGGACTCGGAGTCAGCCACATAACTGACGTGCTCAGTACTCTGCTCCGTACTTACGTTAGGGGAAACGTAAGAGGACCCATTTCTTGAGGTTTCTTTATTTCACGTATCTTGACAAAGCTTTGCTGGAAAACTGCCCAAGGCAACAGAGCATGAACTTGAAAACCGAGTTTTCGACCCATAAAATCTGGGGGACACAGTCAAACCCTTGTAGGTCGGAAGCGAGGAGAGTCGGTAAGAGAATGTGGATGGTCTTTGCGCCACGTTGGTTCCTTGATCACGTGACATGGTAAGTACAAAGGGGGAAGATTTATTTCGGCTCATGGTTTCAGAGCGTTTGCTGCATCACGGTGGCGAGAGCATGGCGCAGAACAGTTCACACGCAGCCAGAAAGCAGGACAAAGGGAATGCTGTTTTGATTCCGCCCCTTCTCAGTGCACCGGACGGTGCCACCCACACTCACAGGGGGTCTTTGCCCTTCGGTTAGTCCTCTCTGGCACCCTGATGTGTGCCTTACCAGTCAGTCTCCTGCAGGACTCTACACAAGATGACCAGGAGAGTTAACCATCACACCCCGTCTTACGTGGTCTCTCTAAGAGGCTGCCTGAAAATATCTAGACATGCACTGTCTGAGTGGAGAAAGAGCTAGCGATTAATCTGCTAGCCCTCTCTCTTTTGCTTTTTTTCTCATGGTCGAAGACAGCCCATGGCACTATGACCTGCCCACAGGTCCGGTTGTGGGCTCTAGCCTCAGCCAGAGTATTCAAGGTGTGTTCAGCCAATGCTCGGGTCCAGTGGCCTCTCCTGCTCCGTCCTTCTCTAGTGTGAGGACACTGGGGATATGCTTTACGACCTGGGAATATTGTGAGCCGTACCGTTGCAGTACGGATTCTTCCGAACACACACAACTTTACAAACTAGTTGCTGTTCCATGAGGAGCCTAAAATTTTGTGTTTGAGGCATGAATTCATTTTCACTTTGCCTGATCTCTGCGTGTCACACTTGACTTTGGGATTTTCTTTTGGTCACTTGGAGCTCAATTTGAATGTCAGCTCGTAGAAAGTGCCGATGATGAAGGCAGCCAGCCTTCCTCCCCCATGCTCAGATGGAAAGACGCACATAGACCCTTGAACTTCATCCCTGTTTTTCAAATGTGTGTCTTGTGCCCTACAGACAAAGACATTTTGCGTTAGGAAAGGAAAGGATGTGAAAATATGGGGCCCACATCTTGTTCTCACACTTTTCAGCCTGGCAGTTCATATAGCCAAACCACAAGTGGAACTAATGTCTCAGTATTGGCTTCCCATCACAACTGACCTATTATGAATTAGCTTGCTCCCTGTCGATGTCAAAATTGGCTTACCCAGGATATGAAAAGGTGTTATCTCTCTTCCTGTTTCTTTTTCACAATTGAAGTTTGACTTCGAGCGTTTGCTTAACGTAAACATAATGCTGGCTACTGAATTTGGATTAACAGAGAACAGTGGTACAGTTTTTAAGAGACGCTTTTTACGTCAGTTCTTGTCTCTTCATTTCTCAGCACCCCTCTCCCGGGAACTGGTGTGGTGGCCCCAGCCCCTCCCTTGGGCTACCACAACCTCACCTCTTTATTGCAGGTCTTTGTGTCATTTATGGTTTCTTATCCTCTTTGGTCAACACATGTCAAGTTACTCACACGTTTGAGAATTCACAAAAAGATGTGAGATGACAAAAAGAGATGACAAAAAGAGTGTGTGATTAAAAGTTATTAGAATGTCTCCTTTCTAATCGCTGTTTAAGACAATTTGGGGATTTTCTGGGGGAAGTAATCGACTTGTCACTTTCCTGATCTCTAATTGGACAGAGGTCTTTAATCCTTCTGCTTTCCTTTCTGTCCCCACTTACCAAGTAACTTCTCTGCAAGGGACAATGATCAGAGCTGACATCTTTAGCGACACTACAGAAGTAAATATGCCCAGAGTTTGGAAGAGTAACCATGCCTGTTATCCCACTTCCCAGCTCATAGGAGGCTCAGATGGGATGGTTGAAAGTTCAAGGCCAGACTGGACTACTTATTAGTTAGGGAATTTCAGACTGGTCTGAGATATATAACAAGATGCTGTCTCAAACATCTCAAACATCCAAATAGGAAGTAAAGCACTCACATGGAGCAGCCTCGGCTCTTCAATAGCCATGTCTATGGAACCTAAGCTGTGGTCACGCAGGGTCTGACTGGACCTCAGCAATATGCAACCACATGAGATAGACCTTTCTACCTCAGAGTCATTAGAGAGGTCTTCTTGTGCATATCAAGGTGAACTCTACCTCCTGGTAATGTTGGGCCTCTGGATCTTGTTTGTGCCAGGAAGCAGAGTTCACAAGTGTGCTCTGTACCTGCGACCAGTTACCCGTCGTTCCTATGAGAATGCAGGTTTCTATACCTTCCTCATCACGGGGCCTTTTGAATGACAGTGTGTGTCCATGAAGCCTAGACCCCCCACTGTCACTTCTCTGAAGCCAAGTGACACGGTCAGTGTCCTCTACACACATCTTTATTTTTCAGCTAGGTGAGAGAAGTTTAGTTTTTCCTTTGTCTTCATAATTTGTTTTCTAGACCCAATTGCCCAAATTTTCCAACTGTCCCTCATGTGAAATGGCTTCAAGTTTTGTTCTTTGCAAATACGATTTCCCATAGTTATAATTTCTTCCAAAAATGGATGTTCAGAACTGATTACAGCACTTCAGGTGTGTTCTGACAAGGAGGTGAGGAAGGACGGAATTAAGTATCAGATTCCTCTTTTGGGAAGACATCACGTTTACTCCAAGGAGAAATCATTCATGAAATCAAACACACTTGCTGGGTTAAAGGACTTATCAGTCATGGACAAGTCAGACTATGGAAAAGTAGTTCAAGTGCACTGTGGAACTTCAAACGGAAGTCTATTCCTGGGGCAGCTTGATCACTAAGCACGGCAGAACTTCAATACCTTAGTTGGCCCATTTTGCATTTTCGGTGGCTGGAAAGATGTTAAGATAAATTCTTAGGGCACCAAAATCCAGAGGATGTTCATGGCCGTGTTTCTGAGATGTCCTTGCTATCTTAGACTAAGGTTCATATGAGACTGGGTTAAAGACTGTCTTTGGAATGTTTCTGCTCAGGGAACCCAGCAGGCAGTAATTGTAATTAAGGACAGCAGGGTGATAAGATGTCTTTCAGTGGACAGTGAGATTGTCACCTAGTTATGTAGTCCAGTTTGTATATTAATAAAATACTTCTTGGTATTTCTGAAGCATCTTTGGGAAGGACATGTTCACTAATTGATATTCCTTTTGGCCTAATAGGCTGTCATCAGATAGCTATGAAACAAACAGAACTCTAGTTATTCAAATATTCTTCAGAGAACTCACAGGTTTCCTTTGTTCAGCACGACTTTTCCCTTATCTTGTCTGAGTTGAGTCAGGGCGCCTGCAAGTGAGATGCACCAAATACTTCCCCTTGTTGCAGTGTTCAAATGCCTGACCCACACACAACCAAACAAAAAAGCCAACAGAAGCAACTTAAGGAAGGAAAGAAGATATGGGATGCTGAGGGAGGAAGAGAGAGGGAGAGAGGGAGGGAGGGAGGGGGAGGGACGGAGGGAGTGTTATTTTGGCTGGGGGTGTAGGAGAGGATACAGACCATCATGGCAGGACCAGCAGGGCTGCAGGGCCCTGATGTGGCAGATCACTTGTCACAGTTCATTTACAGTCAGAAAGCAAAGAGCAGACAGGAAGTGGGAAGATGCTGTAAAACCTCAAGGCCTGCTCCCAGGGACCCACTTCCTCCAGTGAGGCTCCATAGTCTGAAGGCTCCTTGATTTCCAAAAACAAAGCCACACTGGAGACCCAGAGGTTCAAACACATGAGGTTATGGGGGACATTTCACATTCAAACCACACCAGAAGGCTTGGTAAACCAGCTCCGGGTAATTATCTCCCAAAGTGATTTATGACATTTACGCCTTTGTCCTTCACATTAAATCCCGGGGACTGTTACTGGCGGTGTGAGGGTATATATCCAAAAGTAAAACACAAGCCGGCCTGTGACTCTTTCCCACAAAGTCATGTGATCTTCTGTACAGGACTATTGAGGAAGCCCACTACCGAGGAACGGAGACACAAACGTTCCTGACTGTAAAATAACAGTAGTGTCCCTTTTTTTCTGTCCTTTCTCTGACAAATTCTGTCCCCTTTATGGCTTCTCTTCCTTCTGCCTTGTCACTAGCATTAGGCTCCCCGCTACTTTCCTCTGCTTGACTCTCTTTTGCAGAGTTTATCCATTCCCACATCGTTAGTTCCTCTTACCCCTTACCAATGACTGTCCGAACTCTAGCTATGATTTCTGTGCTCCTGCTGATCCAGAATGGTAACCGTATTTGATCCTTCTAACAACCTTGTGAAATCTCTTACATCACTCCATTTTAGTAAACTGAGGCTTTGTTCAATTCATATTTGGCATTACCCAAAGTCGTTATTGATTATGAGAATAATTTGATTGTCATTACAATGTCTCTGTGATGTTTAAGCATTTGCTTTTCCTCAACAACATTTGAACTCTCTCTCATAGAGAGTAACCCCTAAATAAACATTTGTGGATGAAAAAATGGGAAACAAACAGTGGGCAGTTAGTTTGATTTAAGGGGTTCAAAGACATAAAGTAGGTTAGGAAGCAATTTCAGTGACTAGGGAATGAAGTGGGGTAGTGTGGGGGAAGGCAGCAATGGTCCTAGTCTGCAGGAGAGAGGGCGGTTTGTTCTGAGCAGAAAAGGCCTTGTGAAGCTCTCTTGTCTCCTATGCTGGCAGAATTTGGAGACTGACTGGACTTCCGGAATCCTGTCTGAGTGGCCTGGTACGTGATCTTGCCATCAGCTCAGCCTGGGGACATAAGAGGAAAATATTGAGGTCTCTGAGCATTTTAGTACCAAATTAGCCTTCCCCGCACACCATTCTCATAGCATTATCATAATCACCATAAATCCATAATGGCTTTCTTCAGCACCTCAAAACCAGTACGTAGTTCTGTTTTGACACCAAAGAACTTCTTTGAGTGCCTTTTTAGTACCAACTGGATTATAAACCCCCGGTGGGCTAAGAACATATCACGGGGCTTTTTGTTGTTGCAGCTACTCTAATACAGGGCCTACCACAGTGCAACACTGATTCACTTAGGATAGATCAGGATGCCTTTGAAATTCTTTATTATGAGTGTGGAGCAACTTAGAAACGCAGCAACAGAATTTGTTTCCATCTGAATTTACACTACAGTTCATAGCAACAGCAAACACTGACACTCAGTGAAATGA